GTATTAATGATGTGTTTTGTAATCAGATGGCCCTCGTGTTAATTTCTTTTTAAAATATGTTATTGATAAGCTGACTATTACTGACTATTATTACTAACACAGTCAACTGGCGCATTGCGTTTCGTCGATTGCCAGGCGACGAAATATAAATAAACGAAAGCGCTTCGTGGAATTGACAACAAACTCCTCCTACTGCCAATTCGTTAAATAAATGAAAAAAATGAGCTTCTTATTTTGACAAGTAACCTGTAGAATGCTGTGTGGGTAATACTTTGATATTGATTTTTGTTGCATTTGCAGCAAAAAGTTGCCAAATTATGAGAAATCTATTGGATTGGATATACCTCTCAGGTGGCTTCACACGCATAGTTCAAGCCTGCCTAACCGGTGCTTACACCAGGATTTAGTTACAGCACCTAGACGGCATGTTCCGAGTAATTAATCGCAAGAAATTGACATTACTCTAACAATAGAAAATAAAAGACTGGCAATCCAATGCAATTAATAGCAAGTGAAATTCCTGGGATTGAAACATAAATTTTGAAGTCACTGACGTAAGCAATGAATAACTTCAAGTTGACATAAAGACGAGGTAGTTTATTTAACAAGTGCTGAACTAGAAGCTGAAATTATAATTAAGTTCGTTGTCATATAATTTGTTTATTTCAATTTCTCCTGAAATCAAATAAGAATACATCGGTGAATGAATTTTTTGGGGGTATAGTTTACACTGTGTATGGAATGGTGGGGTTGGGTTTCATAAAATTTGTTGATTTGTTCATTTCCAACTCTCATTAAGTCACATACAATTTCACTTAATTTATTTGCGTTTTCAAGCGTTACGTGTGAATCCAATTATTACTGTGCTGTGTCAAGTCTCCATAGAGAATGAGGGAAATGGCATTTTCACTGGAATTTATTTTAGCGGAAAAATGTTTACAGTGAAAATGAAATATTTCACATTATTACATATGTACTGCAGTTTATTTTGATTCGTCCCTGAAATCAAAATCGGTACACTAGCATCACATACGTTAATGAGGTCTGAGGGGAAACAAAGTAGTCTATTCAAGAGGTGCGTTTTTCGAAAGTACGATATTTTACCCTTGCCGAGTGAAATAAAATTTGAACAACAGTAATGGTACTTCTAGGCAGTCACTTATTTTGACTAAAACAAATTTGCATATCACCCATGCAATAATGTTTTTGGTATTTTCTCGGTCAATATGCAAATGAACATGGTATTAGCGATCCGCTCCACTGGGATTGCCCTTACAATCACTTTTGTGTGTCTTGGCTTGGCCGATTTCGCTCAAACTTAGCAGGTAGGTCACACCTTTATTAGGAAAAATCTGGAAAAAAAAATTTGCACACCGTTTCCATAGCAACAGTCAAAATCTGATTTGTTGATAGCTTCGCTCTAAATGTATCTCCTCCAACAAATTTAGAATACAACACCTCAACACATAGCTCATTTTACTCAGCTTGAGCGTGGGCACAAAGTTACTTTTTGTGAAATCTGAAAACAAATTTTGACCACCGATTCCATGGCAACAGCCAAAAACTGATTCTTTTAATACCTTCACGACAAATGTATCAGACCCTACATTTCTATGATTAAAAAGCACGGACGTAGCTCATTCTACTCGGCTTGAGTGTGGGCAACAATTTACTGTTTTTTATGTCTATTTTCATTATTGAGAAAATGGACCCCCAACGTTGGGGTAACTTTTTATCAGCAACAGCTGTTAACTCCTCTCTTGGCTAATTTTGTTCATACATGACAGGCAGGTCGTACCGTCACTAATTGGAAAAACAATCCTGGCCCACAGCTACCAATGCAACAGCCAAAAACTGGTTTTTGAATACTTTCGCCCAAATTTATTACCTCCTACTAGTCTTGTAATAGCAGTGTTTAAATGATCATGCCTTTTATTTTGGCTACGTTGCACACCGGCGCCGACATTGTTACACTGTATCAACCTAATCTCAACGCAACTTTGAACCTACAATGAACTGTAAATACTGCCTCCAATCTAGAAAATACTATCACAAAACGGTTGGAAATAATACATTTAACGGCAGAATACGTCCTAGCAATAACATTAAGTGACTTCTAAAGAATGTTTTTTTGCGAACTTCGTATACGGTGCCCGGTTTTAGTTATAAACCGACGTTAGCTTCACGTTCATGGCCTACCATCGTCTGCTATTTTTATCCAGTTCAAATCGTTCAGCAACATTTTTGGCATATTAAGTGTACATGACATGGAATACTACGATTGAGAGAACTTTGTGTATGTTGAGTTTTATAAACCCAAGGTAAACCCTGAAGGGCTTTCGGAAGACCCCCCCCCCCGCAGTAAAATTAGCGATTGCCATGGAGGCGCAACCATTAAGATCAAAGTACCAGGAGGTTTCAGCTGGCGACGTTGCGATGTTACCCAGTTCCAAATAAAAATTACCAACGCCAAATGAGCAACATTTTAACCGGTAATCAAGATTCATTCAATACACGGCTCAGCGACGACCGCTGTCGACGAAAGTCATCCCGTCAGTGGAGTACCGCATTAGCACGACATGTTTGCCAATGCAAAATTCGGTGGAGGAACTTTTAACTTGAACATAAGGATAGATATTACTTTTCAGTATACACATCTCTGTTGATACTATCCCTCACATATT